GGGGGCCGTTGTCCCCCTTGCCCCCCCCCCCCCCCCAAAAAAAAAAAAATGACGTCCCTGAATTTTCCAGTGTGTGTTCAGTTTAAATTGTATACTCAGTATGGATTGTTCAATCGATAAAGCCAAGGGCCGAAGATCGAAGGCTTCGGCTGGGACGCCGAGAAGTACAGACCATCTGCCCCCATCCCGACGGGAGATGGAGCTCACATCCTAACCCCTTCAATCAATCTGAGATAGGCTCATCCTTCTGGAGATAAATGTTTTTCGTGGTAGCGTGTCAATCGCCCGCCTAATAACTCACGACTATATTGCGCCCTATTTTTTTTTTTGCTCATTCTGCGAAGGCATCTCATTCTTCTCCACGGATGGAACGGGGACTGCATCTTCACTGGATGCGTTTCACACCTTCACTACTAACGAGTCTTTCTGCCCCTGAGTCTTATTTGAGGAATAAATAATGTGAATTGGTTCTCGCTCGTTGTTGGAGGTGAAAAAACGCATGCCCCATTAGTATAGAGAGGATCAGCAAATACTTTTTTTTCTGCTAAACGTCCTGGATGTAGCTACGCTCTTTCGCTCTTTGAATTATCTCTTGACTGGTCTATCTTGCAGGCTTAAGCAGAGACTGAAGCGGGTGGAGGAACAGCTAAGGCATTAGAGCGTTAGTTCTCAACCGGTGGATCACCTTGTGTTCATACCCCAGTTTTCAGTATAATCGAAAATTATTGGCCCAATTTGGGCCAATGTTGATCCAATATGCCTTACAGCTGGGGTTGATGGGTCGCGAGATCAAAGAAAGATAAAATACTAGAGTAAAAGATGAAGATATATGGAGATTAATCGGAAGTGCCAAGCCGAATTCCTGTAATAAGAGTACGTAAGCCCGGAAGGAGGCACTCTTAGAATCCACAGGCCTAGTTCACACAAGAATACATGGAGGGGAAGGAAGGGGTCTGCTAGCTTGCAGACGCCAGGAAACGGCAGGCAAAGAAAGGAAACAAAGGAATGACTCGAGTGGATATTGCATCGTTAACTTCTTTCAATGTGAAGATCAACGGCGGAATGGCAACATTTTTTTAGTTCTACCAAATGGCCAAAACATGGCCAGTGCCAAAGTATACGGACCATCCATGAAGGATGTCAGTCTCATGGACGACCAAGGTTTCTATCAAGCGTTTTCGGGAACCAACTGTGCTTTGAGATTTCATATATAAGTTTTAAATGATTCTCCTTACACTTCTTCCTGATAACTTCACCACTATCTATCTCCAATCTTAAAGTATTCTCTTTCGTAGGACTACCACTGGTTTCTCAGTGATGGCGAGGTGGAGCTGTGGGTGCTGCAATTTTCCTAGGCAGAAATAGAAGTTATTTCAAATATGCACGCGTTTCTGTAATATCACTTGCGCGCACACGTATTTGCTCACTCACTCGTTTGCTTTCGAGTCACACGATCGGATTATTTGTGACCTTCCTCAACTTGCGGCTTGCATAAATATCAGGGGCGCAACCAAGGGGGGGGGGGGGGGATCGGGGGGGTCTGAACTAGAGGTGTGCGTGAGTCCCGCTTCACGCGTGATTCACGCGGGACTCACGACTATTTTCGTGAGTCGTTACTCGTACGGAGCATCGGTGAAGGCCCTTATCGTGATCGTGATGCACACAGAATTCACTCGCTCGTGATCGTGAGTTTTTTAAAGTTTATTTCAGCGGAGTTACTTTGCCGGTTTTTAACTCTCCCAGACACATGCCACAGTTTGGATATGACTCTTCCATTCTAGCTCTTTGAAGTTCTAACCCTTGGGAATGTCCGAAACTTCACTTTCTCATGTAAGCTTTTTCCTGGAGCCATGGAGAATCCGAAAAAAAGCTTGTTTTATCTTTCAATCATTCGCGGCCTGAAAGCAGATTTCCCCTGTTAGGCCATTGCACGGCCGAGCTTGCTATGCAAATGAAGTGCTCTGTGTTCTCATAAGTTCTACCCCAAGCGTGATGGTTTTTTTCCAGGTGCTCTGCGAATTCTGGATCAATCTGAAAGTTTGGACATGATTCTTCTCTACAAGAACTTAAAGCGAACAAGTAACTACACGTAAATCAAGTGTCATCCGGTTACTACACAGTTTCTTACTATTTACTATTTTTAAATACAATAACTGAAGGAAATATAAATTTACATCATTTTGAAAGAGGAAAGGAAGGGTCAACTGTCACGCGTGACACGACTCACGAGGTATCACGCGTGGTTTTCCGTGAGTTCAATTCACTATGCAATGATCGTGCGTACCCGTGAATCTCAAATGATATTGAATCAAGGGATTGCGTGAACATGAAGTGACAACATGGTTTTTCTCTCGTGATCGTGAGTAAAAAATCACTCACGCGCACACCTCTAGTCTGAACCCCCCTCCCCCCAAACCCTTGCTCATGATGGTATCTCACTTCTCCATCCCCCTCTCACCCGAGGGTGGTTACGCAGAAAGATATCTTGAGCAAACGACCTGAGAGCGAGGCTGGAAAGGCACAAAGATAGGCGGTGAAAGGTGAAGGTCACGCCAGTTTCATGTAGCAACTCACTTCAATTAAGTGAGCCTGTCAAGGAAATGTCCTGCACATGAGCCGCTACTAAATTTTTTTTAATGAAAACGGAAGGATGATAATTCAAATAAAAGCTGTGAATCACACAGGTTAATGAATTTCCAGTTGCACATCTGCGCAGTGATATTTGGGCTGAGTCCCGAAATTAATTTAGTCCATTTTACGCTTTTTCAGATATCGAATGTGCTTTCATCATTTTGTGTTCAAATTCCGTTTCCACCATTTCATAACATTTTTCTTTTATTCATTTTCTTTGTTCGTGTGTTCGCACCGTTTCGCGTTTTTGTTGAGTATATCTCTCCTGATGATTTGATAACACCTTCCTGCATTTGGAGACATTTGAAAGACAGGTCATGTGAACTTCGAACCCCCCCCAAACTTTAGGGCTGGTTGTGCCACTGATAAATCGGGCTCGGTAACTCGCGATAAAGGTTGAGAACCACTGCAAGAAGTCGAAGGGTCTGGGATCGAAAGACTGCCCTGACATCTAGCGGTTTCATATGAAATAATGAGGATTAAGGGGGGTGTTGAAGGTGGCGTCAGATGACGAGTTCCTCTTTTCGGTCCTTTTGGACATGGTCGCCGTCTGACGCTGCATGCACGGTAAGGTTTCTTCCCTCCTATTTTTATGAAGGAAAGGCTTCCTTCTAAATGTATTTCTTAATTGGGGTGTCATAACCGATTCTAAGCATGTGTCCAGTGCCTTTTGATGGACTAAGAGGCCTGCCCTATGAGAAGCATACTTGCTAAAGTCTTCAGTTCTGCAGCTAACGTTAGCCTAGCCTGAGCTCGAACTGTTAAAGTATAGCAACCTAAACTAGACGCCAAACGTACGATTAAAGCAGAAGATTCATCACAAATCCTTAACAGTATTTTATGTTAATTCAGGTGAAGTGGAGTGACAAGCATCGTCTCGGGTCACCATGGTTCGTATGAACGCGCTTGCAGATGCATTGAAATCAATCAACAATGCGGAGAAGAGGGGAAAAAGACAAGTCCTCCTCCGCCCTTGTTCCAAAGTCATTCTTCGCTTCCTCACTGTCATGATGAAGCATGGTGGGACTACATCTGTGCCCATTTCATATGACTTACAAACTGATAAATTCATGGCATTTTAATTTTGTCTTTCTTGTGCAGGCTACATAGGAGAGTTTGAAATAGTGGATGATCATCGAGGGGGTAAGATCGTGGTGAATCTCACCGGTCGCCTGAATAAGTGCGGTGTCATCTCTCCACGCTTCGATGTTCGTATCACAGAACTGGAGAGCTGGTCCACCAGGCTACTCCCTTCTCGACAGTTTGGGTAGGTTCACCTCATTGTGTTGTAAGACTTTGATGTTATCCATATCTTTGCATCATCTGTTCTAACAAGTAAAGATCCAATCTGGTGATGTTTAAATATTGAAAGGGAAGTCAGAATTTCCTCAAAAATATAAGGGCAGGTTCTCAGGTGAATCCTCAGCACCTTCAGGACCTGAATTTGTTGAAAGAACTGATGCAATTGACTGTATGCAGGGCAATATTGGATCAAGTTGCTTCCTTAGCATCCTTACCCCTTATCCTAGGCATCACCTCATTCTTACAAGTTTTGTAGCTCTGGTCCAATGTGGACTAAGATTGCCAACTCTCCTAGCATGTCTAGATTTATATTTTTACACAGAGATAAGAAGTTGATACTATGATAATCCCATCTCAAGCTGTCCCTAGTCCTGAGGCTTTACAAGCATCCAAGTTTTTATTAAGCAAATGGGTGCTGCCCATCTGTCTGGGGAAATGTTATGTAGTGGTGTTAGGGAGAAGGAAGCTTCATAGGCTATTGTACATCTTGTGAACATCAAGTAGCATTACTGAGTCAGAGTGCAAGAGTGGAGACCAAGAATATATTTTTCAGCATCGAATCAGACAGCTTGCCAATGTGAGATGTACCATATTGAAGCAATGAAACTAGCTTTTCCCCTACTCTCTACCAGCTTTAATTGTAGGGCTGCTGACCAAGTAATATATGTAATCAAGTAATGCTCCATATTTTATGCCTGCATTGATACCACCCACACGCATCACAACATGAAGAATGGCGAAATTTTAATTCTCAGTTGTCATGGACAAGGCAGCCTTCAGGGGGGGCTCTCCAGGAGAGACTGATGTAATTGACAGGTGCTGATTCCAGTATGGATTTTGGGGAAACTGTAAGACTAGAAGAGGATACAGTCACATATTGATACTTTACAGAAATGGTGCATGGGCTCTGCTACTTCATTGTTATTCATAACCATGACTGAGAAAAGTAGTTATTGAGTGCATTTTGGTATACAGGTGTTTATTGAATCATTTTTGCCCACAGGTCATTGTATCCATAGACAAGTTTCACTGCTGCCAAAGAAAAATAGGCAAACTAGTGGGAATGGGAAAGGATAACAGAAGTGCAAGCTTCCTCAATGCAGGTGCATGGAAACACCAAGAAAACAGATGAACAAGTGATTATGGCTAGGTTTTCACATCTGTGGAAGAAACAGATAGGGAGGGGGAGCAGCTAGGTGTTCATGTTGCCATATGATAGGTATACACACACCACTATATAAGATGTACACATAGGCTTATAGTGAGTGTTTACATAACAAATTTGGGATGTACATGGTTGGGGTTCACAAGATGTACAATAGCTGCTTGGTTGACGTAAAGTGGAAAGCTATAGCACCTTTCCTGTGAAAGTGCCTTCAGACCTACAATGGAATGCCTCAGGCTCTTCTTTCCAACAATTGTCATGATTCACATAGGCCAATTATCCTCCTTAAATAGCTTCACTGTTGCCTACTCTACAGTCAAATATTAAACCTTGTCCATAAATTTGGGCACCACTGATCAATACTTATAGGCTTAGATCTATGCATATAACTTTAACCTGGGAATGCATTGTTAGGGTTCTGGATTCATTTAGACTGAAATCTTTGTTGGATTGGTGTGTCCCAGTGCCATACTCACAATTAGGCACAGAGACCTAGGCCATTTTACTGTTGCTTCAACAAACTGAGAGCTAAGCTAGCAGACTTTGATAGCCCAGCAAAATAACCAAATATTTTCAATTCAAAACTAACCCACATATTCACACCAGATCTCCTTTTGCTTGAGAAAAAATTGTGGGCCCATGTTTTTATTCTAGTTGGTCTTCCTAACTATACAAAACTCACATCAAGTGACTACCCAGTATTGAGATTGAATTTGTACCCCCTCTCCCATAGAAGCACTTCTTTATATTGCATGTAGTTACACTATCCACAAGGAATAGGGTCTGTATACTACATGTCTATATCAACATGTATCACCTTTTACTCAGTGGAAATCCTATTTTGCCAGTTCATGCTACTGTTCTACATCAACCTAGGGTTAGCATCCCTGTTTTTTTTGCAAAAGGATAGGCTTGTCTGTGTCAGTTGTCAATGTGAAGAATTAGAACTCATTGAGCTGTGGGAAGGATCCAAGGAAGCAACAACCCTAATAGCCCTCTGAATAATTATAGCTGCATATATTTCATAGAGATTTGTGGTTCAAAGTTCCATGTATGATATATTAATATGACTAGTAGATTCTCACAAATTCTGATATTGTGATGACTTTGAGCATGATATTTTGTCTTTACAGGTATGTTGTGCTGACAACTTCAGGAGGTATCATGGATCATGAAGAGGCAAGAAGAAAGCATCTTGGTGGCAAGATTCTTGGCTTCTTTTTTTGATGATTCATTCTAAATTGTCTGAGTGATATTGAAGGGAAAAATATCCATCATCATTGCATCCCTGAGTATTTTTATTTCTCATGTCCTGTGAGTTTGGATGGACATTTTTATTTACCAAATCAAGGAAGGTCCTAAGAGCTGATTATATGGCCTTATACAATGTGTTTTCATACAACCTATGAAAAGGATTTTCCTTGAGTAGGCCTACTCCCATGCACATTGATTTAAAATGCCTAAGTACCACAATTGTGAAGAACCTCCATCCCCACCTTCCATAGCCAGACTTCCAACTTATGTGAACCTAATGGAGGTATGTTTATCAAGGTCGCAGAATGAATGAAGTTATGGCTTAGTTCCAATTAAGTTCCTTTGCTAGTCATTTTATTATAGTTTTGTTCCCAGCTTCGTGTAATCCTATAATACAACAATAAAATACATTCTTATAATATTGCAATAATATGTAATGAAAACTGACAATATAATATCATAATAAGGATAAGAAAAATGACAAGTTGCCAATTGACATGGTAGGAGTTGTACTGCATATCTTACATGTGCTCCAGACATGTTTAATGCCAAGAGGGTGCCTCTTTTCATTCTTGTCTCAGTTCATCCTTTCATATCACTGACACACAACCAAACTCATTTCATTGGATTCCATCCCTTCCAATTAAGTCTCATCTCTAGGTAAGGTATAAACATGACAAACCGCTCATCTGAGTAGATTATTCACAAGATTGTTGATAACTCACAATCTTAAATATTGAAAAGCAAAACTGTCCTAAGAAAATGTGCCTTTGTGGCATATTTTTCTGCTTAACTAAGGTTAAGGTCTGAAGTAACTTGTCATGAGTCAGCCAAAGAGCTGCACAAGGAAGATATAAGTCCAGTATTCTGTATATGGGCTCAATGAGCCTCACCATTTATGCTTAGTGCCATCCCTTTGTCTTAGGCAGAACTGATGTCCTTTCAAAAGTTTTTTTAAATTCCCATGCCTTCATTGAGTTCATATGACCTCATACTTCTGTGGCACGAGTGCAACCATACATGCAGGCAACAGTGACCTTTGTGTTTCCTAAAAGAGAAAGAAGATGCTGGTTCTTCAAAGTGAAATGCACACAAAAGGTAGAAGGATGAAAAGCTTTAATTTTGGTTCCAGAAAAGTGGCTGCAATGACTGGGTGAAATCCTTCAAAAACAGCCTTGGAAAGCTTTTTTGAACTGTGCCTTGTTGTAATTGTTCCCTTCAAAGACTCTCTTAAATGCATATTATTGAAACTATGCAATTATAACTTCTGAGGTATGCTCAGCCCATTCAATTGGTAGGTTTTTCTAACACCTGTACAGGGCATGGGAAAAAAACAAGACCAATGGCTTATAACAAATTATTTCTGCTTCCACTGAAGCCATTTTCACAAACTTTCAGTGTGTAGATGAGAATGTTTTATAACACCTTTGAAATTTCCTACAAATTTGTTGCTCTAAGGCAAGGCTGCAGGCAATGATTAAAAATAAGTTGGGTAATGAAAATAGGCAAGAGCTTGTGCTGGTAGTGGAGGACACATGAAGATGCTCTGCATACATATTATTTGGTCCTCATGAAACTCCTCTTCCATTAAAACTCATTTTCCAAGCTGGCCTTTTATTGCAGAAAGCTTTGATTAGCTTTCAGATACCTCAGTCTTCAGAGAATGAGGCAGGAGGACTTGGAACTAGGGGGATGAAGCATTCAGTGGGGATTAGAGCCCCCCTGTCCATTTTTAACCTTTTCACTGTTAGAAAAAAAAAAACACTCACCACCCCCACTGTGTTACAAAAAAAAAGTGTTTTTTTTGTTGCAAACAATGGTTTAAGTTTAAAGTGTCATCTTGAAAACTATTGAAGATGGATCTAAAAAAAAAGGTTTGAAATTTTTATTTCCATGATATGTATAAATCTATTGACAGATATGATTTTGCCAAAAGCAGGGATGATAAAAAGTTCATCAATTTCCAGTTAGAATAGTTAGAATAGTAGGTGGAATAGTAGTAGTAAATATAAGAGTTCTAATAAAATATTTAGGGGTTCCTGATTTTATGAATCATGGTGTATATGTTCAAGGAGGTTTCCTTGAACACATAGCATCAGGAACATATAAATTGACCTGAATCATCTGTGAAAATTGGTTCAGCCACGTCTATCTCAGGGAGGCTGTCTGGAATATTAATTTTCAATCCAGGATTTCCTGTAAAAGTCAAGAAATAAGTTGCATGAGGATTCTTGCTAAACTCAGGTACATCAGCTTTTCGCCCACTTGGTCTACCTCTATTCCTGCTTGCATCTCCACTCCTGTCATCATCATCTTCATCTTAAATTTCAGATTCAACTTCCATTTCACACATCACCTTCACTTTCACTACTAACACTGGAAATGATCAGAATCAGCATTTAAACATATATATATTTATTCATCATCTAATGCAAAGCTTCTTGAGCAGGAAACCTTTTTGACAGAATGGGTCAGTGAAGATACATACTTTTTTTTTGTTATTCAATGCTTCCAAAAGACACATATGTTGACAAAAGTAGCACTGTCACATGGAGAAGGATGTAGTTGTTTCAAGAAGACTGAATATATGGTAATTATATCCATAAATAGTGGAGAAACAACCTAAAAGCACTGGCTTTCAGAGCCTGAGGACATACTCGTGCTACCACCATAAAAGCATTGTGTGCTGAATACATACCTGAGTATGTACTCAGGTAAACAGTGAAAGGGTTGCCTTTGGCCTTGCTTTGGCCACATCAATTTGGATGAAATCCAAAGTCTGTTGGTGGAACATATCAATCTATGAACAGTGCATGTTTTGTGAAAGTAGCTCTGAGAACAGAGATATGCAAGTTAAAAGTTGTTCGTCTTTTTTTCATCATACCCTATATTCCTGTTTTGCAGCATTTGAATACTGAAAAGGGAAGAAAGAGATTGCCAGAAGGAAAACAGGACATCCATCCTGGAAGCTGAAAGAGTTGAGTGGATATTTAAAAACAGCACTCAGCAACTAAAATGGCTACTTGAGATTTGTTGATGGAAACTCAGAAACCTAAGTGAAGAAATGGCAGGACATTATGTTTTCCATGACTCTATGAAAGACTTTCTTGAGACCGCTTTTACTTTGGCGTTTTGTCTCTTTTCACTGTTTTCTTTCTCACCATTCTTGAACTCCTCATACATCTTGACATTTTACTTCTTGACTAATTCATATTTGATCATTTTTAACAAGACCTTGTCCTTCCCTGACAAGACCATTCATGGCATGACATCTTGTAAAAATGATTCAACATCTTGCTTTGAGCTGTTACAATGAGTAACATGAAAATCTCTATGCACAAACTTTAGTAGAACTTCTAGTTTCTAGAAAAGCACAGGTGACATATTGGAGAAACAGCTCCACAGGAGGGCCCATAGAGAAGTATGGAGCATTTATGATTAGGAGGAAATGTTAATCTGAAAACAATTTAGTCACCCAAAACAAGGACAGGTTGGAATCAAGTAAGTTGGAGGTGTAGAGAACCTTGAAGAAGAATGGCATGTGTGAGCTACTCCCTTAATCCTCCATGAGGCTTCAATGGGAAACACCCAGCAGCTCTGTCCTTATGCTGCTTTTCCTTTTTTTTTTAAATGTTTCTGTAAATTGGAGAGCTTTCTGAAGTTCACCTACCTTTTCCAGTGATGTTGAGAGTTGAGACACAGAAGATAAGATATAAATTTAGGAATTCCTCAAAATCTGGCAAAGGACAGCAAGTGCATGCATAGTGTGAGCTTTGAAATATGCACTTGCTTACTCATGTAAATGATTGCATTGAATTAAAATCAAATGACTGATTCACTGCCAATCACTTAGATTTAGTTGTTGGCTGTTGTATGACAGCAGTCACAACTGTGTACCAGTTCTTGTTTCACATATAATTTGTTCTTGGTCACTTGAATTTGTATTTATAAAGTCAGGTTTCACACCAGTAGCATGCAATGTGAACCAGAGAGGACATTAATAAAGTAATGAAATTTGGTAAAACTAATGAAGACTCTCAAGACAGAACTACAAGAGCAAATGGTGTCAGGAGTCATCATGGGTCATCATGTAAGGAGAAGCAAAGGAGTTGTGTGAAGTTTCACCCAGGACAAAGTATGCAGGTTATTTGTGCAGTTCTCTGTTTGGCGATAGACCTCTCCTCCTTTGATATTGCAGAGTGTGCATATACACAAGTTAGAAGGGCTATGGTACATTTTGGTCTTACATATAATATGGTAGACATGCAAGGAGTATCTCATTTTTACAGATAATAGAGGTTGACATCTGGTTTTCCGATGTTCTTGGTTCAGTGCCAGTGACACAAGAAACCAATTTGGGACTGACAGCTCAGTTTCCTCAGCGAACAGTGTGTACACTGCTTCTGTTTTTGGATACCTTCTTTGTGTGACAAGTCTTTCACTAGGCTTTGGCACTTCCCGAGGATTAAAAGTCTAGAGGAGGTTTTTGCTACACCCAAGCATCTTTTCAAAAATGAAGTTTTAATGCTGTTCAAGGTACACAGCTGGAAGAAACTAAGCTTGCTTCATAGCAGAGGTAGTGCTTTACTTCATAGTAAAGTGTATGTGCAAGTAGGCAGGATCTTAACATAGAAAAGTGTAAGGGCTTGACTAGGTTTGAAGTTTGATCAATTGACAGTTTGGACAGATTTTCAATGTAATGATATGATGCAATCCCTTTCCTGGATTATTTTATTAATATGCACAGTGAAGATCCAGGTTGCCTGGAAAATAACACCAGGGTATGAAAAGTCATTGAGGTATTTGATCTTTTTTTCATCATAAAGAAGTACATCTGCTTTCAATAGGTGGCCACCTCTTCTGAATTTGAGTCTTGGACACATTCACTTTGAGCTTTGTCTCATCAGCCTAGGCTTTCAGGGAGTCAAGTGGTATTTGGACATTGAGTCTGCCTATCAAGTATACATCCAATGCAAATATATGACATAAATATGCAACAAAGGTTGTTGGTTAAATAAGACATTCTTGTTCTCCCTTTTTTTCCCCCTTCCTTCCACCTCCAAATGCCTCTGGCTAGTGATAATTCATATAGTGTGACAGTTCAATACATTGCAGGATGCTGTTTATGAATCAAATCCTTAACCCAATGCTAATTGAGGGACTTTCATGGGGATGTAGGGAAATCTGTCCAATTAACAGCCATGTTGCATTTACAGTGCAGAAACTTTCAACTGTTATTTATTGAGAATAAGCTCATGAAATCCATCTGCAATGGATGACCATCCCAAATAATGAATTTAAATAGAAGTGGAGTTCAACTATGACCTTCATACCTCTTGAATCAGCCCACCACATCATGATTCCACTACTCAGATTTCTTTTGACATCTGCCTTGAATCCAGAGAATGTATACTCAATGGCATTGAGAAAGAGACTGTATGGTGGCAAGAATTTTATTGAATGATTGTCATATATATGTTTGGACATTCCAAAAGAGCTCTGGAATTATTCAAAATGAAAATAACTTCCTAATTGGGACCAGTGGTGTGCCCAAGGGGAGGGGTTTTGGGGGTCATAACCCCCCCCCCCCTGGGGTCAATTTTACAGGATTGATTCTCACAAATTTTTAAATATGGCTATAAATACAGGGTGGGTGGGCTATCAGTGTTTCATATGGCAACCCCCCTCATTCGGATTTCCTGGGCACATTACTTATTGGGACTAATCAAAGGAGAGAGCTCAGAAAGGAAGTCCAGGAACTTGTCTTGAGTAAGTTCCTTGCTCAAAGAAGGTATGATGGGCCAAGCCTTCTTCTGGGGAGATTGCAGCAACCATGGTAACAATTGCACCCATCTGTGCCAACTTTATGCATCTTGCACCCATTATAGACCAACCTTTTGTTTGACAGAGCCACAGATAAAGTCCAGTTTCATCATTAAAGACCAGATGTCTTTCCTGCCCTGTGAAAACCATGTTGCATATTCCTCTCTGAAATCCAGGAAAGGGGAACTATAGACATCCACTTTCCTCTGATGAACATCCTTGAGTGACATATTTAGGTCCCTACATACAGCTACCCTCACTGCCACTTCTGAACCTTGAGGCTTCTGTGGCAGAGCCTGTATTGGGTATTATCTTCCTTATTATTATTGGATGGGTATTATCTTCCTTCATTGAAATGACAGGCTCATCAATCATGATGATTTCAACAGTGTCAAGCATCTCCACATCAATTATTTTCTTCTTTTCTCCTAACCTGCTACTTGACTACTTGATGACTTAGGTCATCTGAAATTCACTCCATCATCTCCTCTCCATTCACTCGTATATCTCAAGGATAAAGCATATGATGTCAATGTCAATACAGTCGTCCCTCGCCACTTCGCGCTTCGACTTTCGCGGCTTCACTCTATCGCGGTTTTTTCAAACATATTCATTAAAAAGTTGATCGAGACAGTGAAAATGACACAGCGCGCGCTCGGTTGTCTGAGTCAATTATACACCCCTGTATTACAATTAAAATAAAAATTACTGTACAGTATTTGAAAAAACCGCAATAGAGTGAAGCCACGAAAGTCGAAGCGCGAAGTGGCGAGGGACAACTGTACTGTAATTATTCTGAAAGTGCCAGTTTATATATAGCTACCTTTTCACTGATAAAACTATGGCTTCATTATCCATTTTATAGCCTTGGAGATCAGGATCTGGACAGGCAACTGTGCTTTCCTATCCTGGCCTCCACTGCTGTTTATTTTGGAAAAGTATATAAGGATGAAATGCCTTGAAATTCCCCCCAAAAATTTTTCATGAGTTATCATAATGGTAAAATTGATGCAAATATAGAGCAAATGAATCATTGTAAATACACATTCTCATCAAGGGGGGAAATGAAGTATAAGAATAGCCACTGAAGGGATTGCCTGTAAAACATATGACACCATTTAGCTTCAAATCCTTCAGCAATTTGAAATGAGATGTAAGCAAAACAGACCTGACCTATTACAGGAGTCACTGCTTTTCCCTCTCATAGCTCTTGCCAGACAATGCAAGATGGTGCTTTGGCAGTCCTCCAGAATTCAGAAAGTCATGAATAAGATGCAAGTGCAATGACATGACAATCATGTGTGCCTCAAATTCATTTTAATCCTCACAAACTCAAGGCCATCATGAGCAAACTCATGCAATTACCTGCAGTGGGGACCAAAAAAATTCAAAATGCCTATCTTGGAGGAAAAAAGTGCATCTGAGTATAGCAGCATGGAGATGGGAATTTTACAAACTGGCTTCCATGGGTATGTTGCTCACTTGTGAACTCTTGATACGTACCTGCACCTACAGATACTGACAGTCAATATACAAAATTTCAAAAGAGACATTTTCAAGTGAAACATAGGTTACCTGAGGGAGATTTTAGCCCTTAGGTAGGCCACAGACATCACAGTGATCTAGATGAGGTTGATTGAGGAACGTACAGTGTGTGCACGTCCACAGTGGTCCACTGCTCTGGGCACCTGGAGAATCAGATGACAACCCTGGGCCAGGGGACCTCAAGGAGCCTCCAGGACCCTGACCGGATTCCACTTGCCCCCCTACCCCCAAAGGGGGTGGTGATCCCCCTGATGCCTGAATCAGCTGTATCACTGTTTGCCACTGGTCACTCTGGGCCCACTCCTGTACCTGCCCTATGTCTCCCTTACGAATCCCCTCCAAAAGAAGTGCCATGTGGTCCTGTAAGGGCAATTGTAATCCCTTAACATCATGCCACATCATTACAACTGGTCACAATGAACCTTTATTTAATCTGGGCATTACTTCAGCTGGTGCATAAAAAGTACTTGAAGCAAAAGATCCAGATAAAGCCAAGTTTCAGCCAAATTATGATAATTGATGAAGCCAAAAGCTTAAAGTAGCCCTACAGAGGTTTGGAACAAATATTTGTAAGGTGAATATCTGCAAAAGAATACTGGAAGTTAGTATTGACAAAGAAGCAGACAATTTAATTCTTTTAGAGGGATGGGGAAAATAGTTGAGAGTTTGATGTCAATATTTGGTTTTGAGCAACCTCTTTAAAATTTTGTATGGTAAATTAGCTGCAATGAAGACTCTCAATGAAATACAAATGGATAAACTAAAAAAGTATGAAATATTCTATCTACCCTATAATACCATTAAGTCTTGAAATGTGCTACTTCCACTGAAACATCCTTTCTATTTTCCCAACCTTCATAGGAAGAGTGTCCATGGTGGCAATGAAGATGAGGACATGAAAATCTACTAGGGCATCCACAAACTTTTCCTTTGGAAACTGGGACATAAAGTGGGCAAAAGCTGAGAAGTCTTGAATGTATCCATCCAGCAACCTAAACAAAAAGAGAAAATTAATGCTATAGTTTGTACTGGAGAACAGGATGACATGAAATATTGAATCAGGAAGGGGAAAGAACCTATTTTCCACAGGAAAAGGTGTGATGGATGGATTGATAGGGAAGGTGAACTGGGGTTCTAGAGGAGTGGAGCATGGGACATCCAGCAGCACATATTCAATTGGCAGTGGACGTGCTGGTTTTGTCACCTCGTTCCCATATGAATCCTTCTCCTGATTCATAAAAAAAAAATTTATGTTGGCTTTTCAACCATTTCATTTATTTCCAGTGACTAGGCCTACCCTGAATGGGGAGAAGCACATGTTCCCTCCACACAAAAACCTATAGATATACACTGGCTTAAAAAAAATAATTTTGACAGAGGTGCTTTTAGTTTAGTAACTTTTTAGTTAAGAATTCACACCCTGTATTTAACCTTTTTTTTTTTTTTTTACCAAACAACTGTAATTTTACTGTTTTGTGTCAAGTTCAGGATGATGAAGAAAAAAAAGTATAATAAGAAAATGGGGAAAACTCTTACAGTAAAAATGTATTCCCTTTCTATAACATGTATGTAAACATTGACATATTTTGGATCAATATCTCTTTTCTCTGGAAAGTGAAGCTCCTTCCAAGGTCCAATATTGTCACAGATGCCTGATTACTATCTATGCTCTAGCATCCTTTGGTGCCCAATTTCATGGCAATGATAACCAACCCAAGGAAGAAGAAACCCCATGCCATCACTGATCTCCCCCCCCCCCTCTGCTTATCTATATTGAACAAAAGAGGAAGGTCTACATATGAAGACTCAGTGGAAAAACCTTTGATACTCATTTCCTTCAGTAAACAATGAAGCCTGGAGGTGGACCAGTTATGGTGTGGGGTTGATTCTCCTTCTCTGAGGTATGTAATTTTGACATCATTGTCAAGAAAATGACCACTAAAGGTTGCAAAAACAGTTGAAAGGAATCAGGCATCTTCTGTGACAAAATTGGGCCTCAGGAGAAGTTTCAAGTTTCAAGAAGTTTGGATCATTGTCCCTTTTTCAAAGGGACAATGATCCAAAACCTATTTCAAAATTTGGTTGCACTTGTGTCTGAAACATCTGATTAGCCTGGAAGCTTTCTAGATTCCAGAGAACCTCATTTACCCCCTGAGGAATTCATTGAGCAGAAAGATTCCATTAGATGGAAGAAACAAGGAAACCTCCAAGATAGTTTTTTGTAATAATGGGAAAAGCTGCCAGCAAGTGATTCAACTGGTGGAGACTGTTCCCCTGTCACTTGAAGACCATGATTCATGGCAAAAGTTGTCATGGTGCCTTTTTAAAGGAGGAGAAACCTAATGATTGTTGAGTTTTCCTCATTTTTATGTCATGAACATTTTTTTAAATGAATTTTCTATGTGGCAGTAAAATTGCTGTGGTTTAATGAAAAGTACAGGCATTTCAATTAATTCAATTTGTAACTTACTCAGCACACAATTTAAATCTAAATCCATAAAGAAAATGGAGATTATTGTAGAAAATCCATTAATTAGTTGAGGAGATATCTTAAAATCTTTAAAATTAAAATAAAGTTACACCAGTCAAGAAAATTTTTTGAGCCAGTGTATATGAGATTTTCTAGTGCTGGTATTGCATGCACTCTACCTTGACATTCTCAGTATAGTGTGCACTCTACCTTCCCTATATGCTTTTTTGGGTTCTCACTAAACCCAAGCGCACCCAATAAGAACTAACTAATAAACACATACCAAGGGAGACACATTCCTTCCTTGTTGGGCCAAAGGAGTGAGAAAGCCAACCTATTTTGGAAGATGATGGGTCAGTTGGGTGAGAAAAGGGTTGTGGCCAAAGGCTGTGATTATTTTGAATAATTGCAGCCTTTGGCCACAACCCTTTTCTAACTCAACTGACCCATCATCCTCCAAAATAGGTTGACTTTCTCACTCTTCAGCTTTTGACACCGAACCTGGGAGAAAATAATGGGAGTCCACCAACTGTGCCAGTGCAATGACAGGTCTCACTGAAATGACAAGCACTAGACCGGAAGGGTGTAGGAAAATGTGCTATGAGAATGAAAAATATATTACCAATATATCCATATAGATATATGTATGATATTAACACTTATTTGCTCCCAAAGGTATGGTAACAGATTCTAAAGTTTCCATCTCTTTTTCATCTACCTCCAGAGCAAGCGATATTTTGGTCACTTGCCCAGGAGGTAGATCACACCTTACGGTAGAGTGCACGCTATATTGGCACTGATTTTCCTTTTAGTATCCAAAGGTATGGAATTTCCACCAGAACTGAAGAACTTTGACTATTCAAAGCCTGGACTCAGTCAATTGACACAATTGCTAAATCTGCTGGTTCACTACTGAAAGAAGGTACTTCATTTCCTCAGATGATTTTCAGAATTTCCTGCCTGAAAATATAGCAATGTTTCCATGAGGAGCTTTGCTGTACATTCCTTCAGGTCACCCTGGATTAGACGGTTTCATAGGGAACCAGATCCTGGGTCAGTTTAGATTAGTCAGCATGTGCATGTACTCTTCCATGACTGTTACTTAAGCATTATGGAAAGATGAAACAGACACGATAATAGACATCAGGGACATATTGATGGTTGGAGGACTCTCGGATGTAGGCCAGTTCTGGAGCATCCTTGGTGGGAACAAGACAGTCATCACGCACCAATGCCATGCATTGGTTCGACACCTGGTATCCCTCCATGTGCACCTGGTTGCTTGAATCCCCTAGCACAACCATATCATAAAATCAACTATCAGTGCCAATTCATCATCCCATCAAGTCCTCAATCCCATCACAGAGCAGCATCTTTCAGAAAGTAGGTCTATGATGACTGGAAAGTACTTTCAAAGCTGACTCCAATAAGAGTTGTAAATACTACATCTAGAACACTACTATCAAGTGAAGGTGTAGTAGCTGGTCCTTCCATACACAGCTTCAAAAAAGAAAACAATCGATTTGCAAATGAGGGAAAAAATACAAGGTGAAGCACGTCAGTGAGCAACCAGGTCATAGAATGACATAGCTGTCAGTTAGGTCAGCAATGCCTTTTGACATTCATAAATGGGGGGGGAGAGGGGGTAAGTCATACTAACCCTATCCCCATATTGGTGGACTAACTTCCCCTGACAAGTGAATGTTTTGAGTTCTCACCTTTTGCCAAGAGATCTCATTCTCATGGCATATGCAAATTCTATGCTCTTCAAACTATGCTATGATTTGGTTTTCATTTTGGATGAACAAAAATCTAAATTCTCCAATTTGAATCAATTTCTCTATAAATAAATAAACAAACATTGATGCCCAATATGCAGTTTTGGGCGGTAACGAAGTAAAAGTAACGCGTTACAGTAACTAATTACTTTTTTCAGTAACTTTTTTGGTAACGAGTTACTTTTCAGGGGAGGGTAATGGAACTGATAACTAGTTCCTTTTTCATGGGAAAAGTATGTGGCATTACTGAATTGTGTTCCTTTTCTTGATGAAAACAACCAGCGCTTCATGACTACATGCATCCTAATTGATGCAAAATAGGGAGGAAAGGCAGGGAGGTTATTTTATTTCGGAGGTTAGGAACGAATTTGATAGTTCCATTGATGTAAACTTATGTGTGAAGTGCCCTTTATGTTTACTGACGACCAAGGTATTTTCCGTCTCATGAACTTCAATATTGATTTGAGAAAGCATGTCTAGATGAGCTCCATCGTACCCTGACTTCATTCAGACAACCTTTGGTCTAACGTTAGGTCTTAATGATAGGCGTTGCTTTGGTTCTGATAGTGCCTCTGCACAGAAACCTTCTGTATGCTTAGCGTTGGCACCTCTCCTCAATTTCGTCTGATCCACTTTAGGCTCAGCGGATGGGTAGACCCTAGCTGCCTCCCCATATTTCATGTGCATGGTTTTATCACCCTCCCAACAATACATCATTAGTTAGACTGTTAATTCTTGGAAGAGTGAGTGTTAAGCCTAATTGTGGAACCTAACTTAACAGAGAGATTTGCAAGTGAATTTGTACCACTTGTAACATAAACGCCTCAGACACTAGTCCCCATATTTCATGGTCGGAACACCCTCCTCTCCTTGATTGCATCATAAAAATATCATGTACACAGTAAGAAGTTAGTGAAAATTCACTTTCAATCACTGTATGGGCTATATTTGTGCAGTCTATGTCTGGTTAAGGGGAAACAAAAGAACACGACTTCAAATTTTCCAATTTTTCTATCTGGGTCTCATGATGGGGGGGGGGGGGCAGGTTGGGCTTGGTCTTCCCATCACCAATGGCAAATTGACATTTTTTAAAACTAAAGGGTGCATTCTGACTATCAGCATATAATTCCTGTTAAGTAGCCCATGGGAAGGGAAGAGGCATAGGGAAAAGAGTGAGCATGAATATTTATCCAGTTCAGTGATAATCGCAATTCAATTTTCTTGAAATCAGGGGTAACGTTTGCTTTCAATGCAATGCATCCAGCTTCTGTCAAAGAAGTGGAGAAGCTAAAAAGATTTGAATTTTTGTTCAGGAAAAGTAACTAGAAAAGTAACTTCTACTTGTAATTAGCTACTTTTGGTGAGAAGTAACTCTACTGGTAACTAATTACTTTTTGGATGGAATACTTGCAATCATAAGTAGTTACTTTTTACAAGTAATGCACCCAACACTGCCAATATGTTTGTTTACATAAATACTGAAGTGGGTATAGATCCAGCTGTTAAGAACTTACTGAATTATTATCACGATCCTACAGGACATTGAGTAATTGGTGTCAGAATATGCTCACCTGTAACACAAATGGTGACAAATTTGGAGCCATAAAATCCTGTGAGGGAATCCCTACAGGGATTGGGGTTGTGGTTCTGAAGATGAGCTGCAGTGATGCATTCCTGTGCAGAGAGGAAATGATCATGTATGTTTCGGATATATTTCACTGTTCCCTTGGTCTTGTCTTCAGCCACCAGGTCTGTGAAGATCCAGCCAACACATTGAAGTCCCAGCTGCTTCCCTATCTCTTTCACCAGCTCTTCTTTTGGATCTGGCAGCATCTGGATTGTGTCTCTGGTACTTTCCTGATCCAAAAACACACACACACCCACACTTCATTTAGACCTTTCACCAAATTTAGAATGGATGGGGAAAAAAGGGGGACCAGCATCAATCTCTATGGCTAAGTCCTTGACAATTCACTGTTTAGTCAAACAAAGGGATGCTGTACCATAACAATTTCACAACGAATCTTAGAAGTTTGAGGGCAGTCTTCTTGGCTTAACACAAGATCTTCCAGAAATAAAATGTTTTCACATGGTATCCAAGTTCTTAAATGAAAACAATCTCTTGCTTGCAAACACTCTTTCATCAATCTTCTTCACAAGTTTAGTCAGGATGCTCCTAACCCATTGGTCACTGATAAATTCATGAATCAACTATTACAATGCCGACGGCCCCCTCCATCACTTCTTCAGCCTCAACATTTTAAATCAACCTTCAGCATTGATTGCTCTGTTGTATTAATTCCGGAAAATGCCTCCAAAATCAACAGATGTCAACAAACAAAATACACAAAGATGTCAAAATATTATGAAACCCATTCATATTTCATATTCTAACAAAGCACATCATAAGCTCCAAAACTGCAGAACAAAACAATATTCAAAATGCTGCATCCATTTACCAGGTAGAAGTGCACCAAAATCACATGTCTCTATAAATGAAAGCATTACTATTGATCTAGTTATTCATTTCAAGGTGCTCTAGGTCATATTAATGATCAGCTGAAGGGTGTTTTGATGAATATTCTTGGGAAATTGTTGACATCTAATATCACAGTAAATTCCATCAATTTTGGGGTCCACTTTTTTTTACCCATCCAGTAGATGTGAGGTGTGTTGTCACCTGAGGGGGTTCATAGATAGCAGCCACTGTGGCCTTGATCCCGAGAGGAACATCCTTGAAGATTTCATATCGTCCATAGAGGAAGCCCACACGTTGATGTCCTGTCAAGCGCCAGTAATTGAGAAACCGCTCCACCAAAAATGGGTTCTCAAAACTCACATTGTCCACATGCCTATATGCCTGCCAGAATAATTCACAACTGTAAGTGCCCTGATTGAACATTCTAGTCACACTTGTTAATATTAGATCTTTGACGGGCCACTACTGCTTCTATCACAACTCACTTCAAATTACAGATACTTCTTTTTATTTAGTCAAACCAATTAAAATATAACAAATTTACTACATCGAAGACTGGTGTGGATTTTTTTTGGAAATCAATGAATGTCAATAATCCTATCCATGCAACAAAAACCCCAGAGCAAATGTAGGGAGGTGCACCCAAGTCTAATGATTTTATCTGTTTCATTTAATGGGATCCTCCTGAAAAAATGAGAAAAAAGTATCATTTTCAGGCTAAGGGATGTTTCAGCATAAGACCTGTATCTGTCAGTCAGCAGTGAACTTTGAAAACTTAGCTTTGTAGCATGAAAGCAAATCCTTGATTCCATCAAAATATCCTTGCAGAACAGTCCTAAAATTCATGAGCTAATATTTGATCTCAGGTAGAAGCTGTCTTTGATATTAGTGGAAACTGTAGGAATTGTGCATATTCTCAAACTGAATCCTAAACATTGCTGCAACAAAGCAAGATAGCTTGACTTCTCTTATGGATATTTACTCTGCCCCCTTTGTATAAAGGAGCTTATTGTTAGAAAACCTTTGGTATATCAACCATGCTTACTTATCCTTGTCACTCACTCTTGCACTAAGAAAAAGTTCTATTTTAATTCCTTTTTGCTTCAAAATTATGGACGGAGTGGAACAACTCATTATGTCTTTCAACTTTCATGTACCAATGTCCCTTTACAACAAACTGATTTTGCCAAGGATGTGTAGATATAGGAAGATAGCAAAATATTCCACAAAATCATATGCCCTAGATATAGGAAGGTTACTGTTGTTGGGCTCTAAATGATTGAAGGAAAGATTGACTTGATTTTCTAAAATCTCAGATCAAGGTTATTAATAATTTCTGAGTTACTATTGTTGAGGCATGTCTGCCACTAGTGTCTCTGATGAAGCCATCAAAGATTCCTCTAGAGTCAGTATGAATTTTCTTTCCTAGTCATGAAAGACTTGAGAAAGAGACAATTTTGAGGGCAAAAAAATACCTCAGGTTAAAGGAAAAAGTTGGGGAAAGTTAAGTATTGAAATTCAAATAATTGTTTTATTGTTTATAGATGGTTATTTATTATTTGCCTGACAAAAGACTACATTCTACCTCCTACTGAGATAAAAATGGAATTCTTCATTAACCTTTACATGCCAAATTTCTCAAAATTCAAAGAGCATGAGAGTGGAAACATACAAATGTTGCCATATTTTATCATAGCATCTATGTGGAAAGGAAGATTCCATGCTCTTAGAATATGATAAAATTCAAATTTTTCTAGACATGCTCTGTTTGAATTTGAAAATGCTCAGCATGTAAAGGTTATAGATCTTTTCAGCACAATGTGCCTATACTTAGGGTACCCCCTTCTTTGCAGCATAGCAAGCTTCATCTAAAACACCACAAGGGACTGCACCACACTATTGGCTTGACCGATTCTAAACAAAAGTCCCATACATGGGAGCTGAGCTCACCATCAATAGGACCAACCACATACCCCAAACAACAGCAAAATCTAATTGCTAGACTCTTTTGCTGCTCTGCTTCCTTTCTTGTTCTCTCTCTTTTCATCCCATCACAGCTTTTAGAATCTGCATGGCTATTGCTCAGTGGCACTGTTGTCGCAAATCAGCTGACTCCAGATTAAAAGATGGATGAGAAAGAAAAGAAGGTAACACTAACTTGTCTGGAAAGTGTGATGGTGGATGGCATGCACTTTGAGCAGAGTCCTTTTGGGTATGGTAGGTGATCCTTGCATCCAGGCTTCACGGCACAATTCAAATCCTCCAGCCGCACAGATGTTCCTCTATAGGGGAAGCAATATCATTGAAGACTTAAGGAAGAAACTTTGAACCCATGGGAGAAAATGTGCTCACTTGGTGCCACTAGATCTCTTCTTAAGGAATGCATGGAAAGACAGATGCTTGATCTTCAAGTCATGCAGATAATTCTCATCCCAAGGATCTATAGGACTGCAGTGGACACACTGGGCATGGGTGCTATGCCGGCAGCTACAACAGAAAGAAACCTTCACCATCACAAATCATGTGCTAATGATGCCACAAGGAAACCATGTAATCTGCCTTACTATGTTGGATCCCGGTCCCTCTGAATTTTACCATCTTGTTCCCACAGCAGGCGATCAACCTCATCCTCAACCACATTCACTGTAGATGGTGATCGGCGATGGCTTGATGACAGATCCTTCTTTTTCCCTATCATGAAAGCAAAGCAGACAGTCATTCTCAACAACTACAGAAGTACACATAGTTGATCCTAGGGGATAATATATTGCAGGTCCAATGATTTTACCAAGAAGAAGGTTTTCTTGAACAGCTTGGTGTGGTACTCCTTCTTGTAGTAGAGCACCATTCACTGGATTCACAAAGATCATGTCACCATGCTTTAAGTTACAACTGTGGATCTTCTGACTATTTGAAGAGTAGATTTCTCCAGTCCTCTTCTTATTTTTGTAGAGTGAAAACATGAATGAAGGCATGTTGAAGCTGGCATGCACCTATAAAGAAAATTGAAATTCCAAGCACATCAGCACGGGTGAACTCCCATTTTTGTTTTATTTTGTGTAATATTTTGGTAAAAGAATTAAATTCAATTATTCATGAAAATAAAAGGCTTTAAAAACGAAAAGGCTATCACATATCATAAGGAGGAAAAAGTGGCCTTGCTCAGCATATATAAAAAATAATCACCTTCTCATATAGCTCCTTAGTAGTAGCACTAGGGGAAATAGTGATTCGTTGAGTTCCATCTGGTGACTGCACCCTCAGGATCTGTGGTTGCAAAAAATAGTTATTTGTTGTAGACTTTCTTCTTAATTAAAAGCATTCATGTCAGGCATGCAATATCAAGATTAGGCAAATAAGTTTTCAAACCTATAAGATCCCATCATGCACAGTGATGCACAGCCTTTCTTCTACAAAGAGCCAAATTGAGGTTTGACTTATATAAGAGGGCCACAGATTCCACTGAATGTTGTCCCCATGGTATTTATTAACTAGGCTTTTGGCACTGCTTTAAAGAGACCATCCAGTTGGAAGGAGGCCTCAGAGGCTGCAGGTTGCTCATCACTGATCTATCATAAACAAGGGGCCAATTGCACTGCCTCTGTTAAGTCAGATTTTAATGCAAAGTCAGACTTTGGAAGTCTGTCAGTAATTTAAGCCATTTGCACTGACCCTGAAAAATTGTCAGTGCAAGTGAGGCTGAACCCAGACTTTCTCAAGTCAGGCTTTCTGAGAAGTCAAGATTTTCAAGAAGTCTGACACTGAAGGGAAAGCAGTGCAACTGACCCACGAAGTCTCCAAGCCTAAGAAGCCAAAATCCAGTCAGTAGCAACTCCTACACAAATGGAAGCCCCAGCAAATACTTGTCATATTGCAGATCCATAAGAAAACAAAAGTTAACATTTTTCTGAATTATTTATTTACATCAATAATTACAGACCTGTGTCAATTTTGTCAGCTTGCTCAAAAATCCTGGAGAAACTTATGTATAAAAAGCTAATTGGCTTTTTGGTAAGTCAGAACTTCTTCTATGAGGAACAATATGGATTTAGACAGAATAGAAGAACCAATGTAGCACTGGATGTGCTTATTAATAAAATGAGAGAACTGATTGATGAAGGAAGTAAATGCATTGGAGTCTTTATTGACTTCAAGAACGCATTTGACACAGATTTGACATACTTCTAAAAAAACTCAACCACCACAGAGTCTGAGGTATAGTACTAAAGTGGTTTCAAAGTTACTTAGCAATCTAAGCAGATGGATTAAGGCAAACCGACTCACAATAAATATTTAAAAAACTAACTTCATGATGATACAAAGTCAGAAAAGTATTAGAATAGGTGGAGTAAAATTATCTTGGATGGGGAAATTCTGCAAGAAGTAGATCAAATAAAGTATTTGGGGGTAATTTTAGACAGAAGTCTTGTTTGGGACAAACACAACACCAAATCTGCACAAAAATAGCTGTAATTAATGGGGTTATGAGTGAAGTATGCCACTTAATTCCATGGTCACTCTTAAGAAACATTAAGAAACAACAACAACTTCACACTAATCCATCCTCATATAATTTACTGCATATCAATATGGGGTAATACACATCAAAAGTATTTGCAAAATATAGAAGTACTTAAAAAAATAAGCATTAGAATTATGAGCTTCGCAGAATATAGAGACCATACTGAAGAAGTCTTTCTATTCTGGAGAATTTTGCCATTAAGAAAATTAATGCAGTTTCATCTTTGTCAAATCATTTTCAAGAAAGTATAATTTTTAATGTTAGAAACCTAAAGTTAACCAGGATTGCTGACTCCCACTCTTATGAAACTAGGGCATCTAGAGCAGGAAAATTTCAAATACCTAGAACAAAGACAAAATTTGCAGAACAAAATATCACACAAGAAGGACTAGGAAAAGTTCATTTATTGCTCGAGGATATAAGGGCTGCAAAATCAATTCAAATCTTTAAAGCTAAATTATTAAATTATTTTCAACAAAAGAATCCACAATAGAAAACAGCTCCTTTCAGGCCATCCAGGACAAACCCAATTGTGAACCCAATTGGGTTTGTCCTGGATGGCCAGGTTGGAATGCAAAAAAAAAAAGAATATTATTTGATTGATTGAATGTATTGCCTTTTTGTTTGTTTGTGTGGTTTCTTTTATTTATTTATTTTATTTTTTCAGGAATCTGGTCAGTCTAACCAGCCTGAAAGGAGCTGTTTACTATGTGGATTCTTTTGTTGAAAATAATTTAATAATTTAGCTTTAAAGATTTGAATTGATTGGCCTTATTGCCACTATTTGCTTCTTCTTTTTTTTTTCTTTTTTTTCCCTCTCTCACTCTTTTTTTATTTATTTATTCATATTTATGCATTGTCTTTCATTTTTGTCATTGTCTATTCTATTCTATTCAGTTATAAATCTTCAATGGAAGAAGGGTAAACCCAGACCTGCTCTACCTTCATAAACAATCTAGTACTGCTGAATATCACAAGCCACCAATGATTAACCTCGTTCCTGTCCAACTTTCAATTTATCTCACCCTTCTCTATCATGGGAAAAAAACAAACTAATGATTGTGCTTCAATATTAAGGGGGATTGAACCATCATATTTCATAAGAACCTAAAGTTAGACTTTGAATTTCTACAAGGTGAAGATGTGTCAACTGCAATTCTCTAATTACTAAGAATCATTTTATGTTTAAAGTTCTTGACCCAGATTTGACTGCAAAGACCTCATTCATCATCTATTTTCTTTTCTTGCATTTACTATTCACTTTTTGTCTTTTTCACCTTCTCATAAAGGAGTGAGAGTGGAAATTCATCACTGATGAGGCTCTTGAACTGACAAGTTTTTTTTGGCCAAATCTACCCTCACCAACAATGTAGTAGGCCTAGGAGTATCTCTATTTTGTGTGCCCATAAGCAGTCAGAAAATAAAAGCCTTTGCACATACCATGCTCTCTATCTCTGCACACTTCATGAGAGGTACCTACTTCGAACACATCTCATGCTATCTTCCTCACACTTCTCATAAAGAATACTAGGGAGATGTCATTGAGATTGCATGCTCTTGTGCACCCTTAATGGCAACATGCAATCTGAATATGTATTGAGGATAACGCTATAGGTGGAGAACTGGATGCAAGCAAGTGCATCCAATGTGCACCCAGTAGTTAGATTTCTCTTATACCTGTCAGCACAGCATCCTACTCTCTCCTAGTCAGCATTCTAAATTAATATGCAGGAAGAAAGATGGTAATAGCATTGAAGAAAAGGAGGAGTACAAGTTAGAGCATAAATCACTGCTATCACTATCTTGTGCAGTGTGATATGCATAAGAAAGTAGCACAGGCCTATGGCTTGTACATGACAGTCAGTACGTTTTTCGAAACATTGTGCTGTGGAAGTCCAAAGTTATTGGTGAAAGATGCCTATTAGAATCGTAAACCTATACCAATTACACTGCCCAGATTGATTTCAGATTAAATTCATGCCTCCCTCCCCCCTTTGGTAGTAGAGAACAGAGAATAAACTCCTGCCAAAGGATCCACCTCATTAGATGATCCATGAAACCTCCCTTGCGAAAGATGTCACTGACTGCAATCAATGGAAGTGTTTCCCATTTTATGGTATGGCTTCAGTTCATAAACAAACAGTGTAGGCCTACCACAATGGGCAAATTCAGAAGCAAATGCAACTTAGTGTGGCTAAGCTTCTGAATACTCCCAGTGTGAATTGAAAGACTCAAAAAGGTGATTCATAGTCAATGAAGAACTTACTATTTCCTCATTGGCCATGTTCAGTCACTTTCAAAACTGATGATTTCACCCTGTTGTCTGAAATCCCCTCAGGATCAGACCTGCAGATTCAAAACAGGATGGGACAGTTTCCAAGGAGATAATCCTCAGTCTAAAGCTTACACCATACTAAGGCCTATGGATCTATCTAAGCATATGTTAGAATAAACAATTAAAGGCAGTGTCTACTGGCTAAGCTGGCTCATCTCTGACTTAAGGGACAAGCTACAAGTCACCTGACTCATAATGTCTGATCAGTTGATGACACCTACAATCTATAGAAGAGTGCTCAGCCTCTAAGGTTTGGCTGAGCTGGCTTTCTGAAATGGAAACAGCTAAAAGTAATAAAATTTATTGTATATTCCAGAGCGATGGCTTTCATCATGTTATAAGTGCCATGTGTATTGTTTTCAGCAATCATAACCTAGGAGTACCTATGAAGATGCAGAATTTCACTAGTCATATAGTCAGAGCAGAGGGCTCACTCAAAGCCTTAGCAGTGTGTAGAGAATAGTGCCCTTAATGGGTGATTTCAAAAGTTTATTTCAATGCAGATGTCCCCAGGCCAAGAATTTCCCCATTTTCCAATAGGCAGTGTCAATTAGCCGAGCTGGCTCAGCCCTGACTTCAAGGCCAAGCTGGGAATAATAATCTCTAACATCACTTCTAACATAACAGTTTCCTGCAACACACCAAACACAGGCATGTCTTGCAAGGTAGAGGAAGCTGCTTCGTTTGCCTCGTGAGAAGACTTTTAAGACTTTAAGAGAGAAGACTTAAGCAATCTTTTTCACCTCGTCAGCACAAAACTAGATAGCTCTTCATTATTGAAGTATATCATGGTTGTTTAAAAGGTGTTATATCATGTCAGGTTAGGAAGTAGATGACATGCAACTTAATTAATTTAAGATGTCTTGTGTTGGAATGTGGGTAAATTGAAATCAACTTTTGAAATCACCCATTAAGGGCTCTTCTCTCTACACAACTAGGGCCTTGAGTGAGCCCTCTACCATAACTATATAGATTTAAGGGATTTTGTCGAATCCTGCATCTTAATAGTTACTCTTTGGTTGAAGCTGCTGAAAAAGATACACATGGCACTAGTAATATTATGAAAGTTATCACTCTAGAATATACAACTTTTAAGACTTTAGCCTAACTATACAAATTCTTTTCCACTTCAGAAAGCTAGCTCGGCCACAACTTAGAGACCGAGCTCTCTTCTATAGAGTATTGGTCTAAGAACTGAGATGTCATGCGTCACATGACTTTCCAGCTTGTCCCTTAAGTCAGGGCCGAGCCAGCTCGACCAATAGACACTGCCTTTCCAATATGGTTATGGGTTTTTAAATGACCATGATATCCTTCAATACAGAAGAGCTGTCTAGTTTTGTGCTGCTAGGCCAAAAATAGCTCAAAATCTTCCCACAAGGCAAAGGAAGCCCCTTCCTCTACTTTGAAAGACATGCCTGCGTTTGATGGGCTGCTGGACGCTTAATCACGTTAAGAGTGAAGTTAGAGGTCATGATTCCATGCTCGCCCAATACCGCCATAAAGAAATCAGAATATGAGTCAGACATTATCCAGACATTAGGTTTATACAATATCCTGTCCAGCAACACATGACCTCCCTTCAGATAAGAAAGGAGATTCAAGAAACTGGGGCTGAACCAAAGAGGTATCGTATCGTATCGTATGCTACGAGCCGAACTCGGCCTGATGGCCAATCCTAGGCCTTGTGACGTCATAGCATCTTCGAAATCTCCTACATGAGCCACGTGGTTGCCACGTGGCTCGTTTATGCTACTCTTCATACCCAGTCCGCTAAAGGGTTACCCAGCTTCATTCGTCTTTGAATCAAATCCAGGTTCCTGGTTCCAATTTTTTTTTTAGCGAAAAACTCTGCATTTGATGCAGCAATAGGAAACATGCTGGATGAAAAATACATTCCGATCGGTGTTGGTAGTGAAGAAATTTGTAAGAGAAGTTTTTGAATGTGCATGTATAGGTACCACGGAGAGATGGTGAAGACGGAAGAAAAGAAGGTAGGCTTGTTTCTTCTTTGGTGATGTCTTACAACATCACGATCGCGCTGTGATGGATTCTTCACCCCGTCGACGAAACCTCGATCGATGAGGGAGTCCGAGCAGTATTGTATATATCAATATTTTATCACCTATGCTGCCTCGTCGGTACGGAAATCCTAGATTACATAATCATGAATGACATCGAGCACGTCACGTCCAAACGTGTTGTCATCAAAGTGCGAAGTTCCAGCAAGAACATCATAGATCGCCTCGTCACCAATGGTCGGATACCGTGGTATCTCTTATCCTCAAAGCTTTTTGGGCTGCAGTTCCTGGGATTGATCTCCATTCCATTCAAGTCATATGTAAAAAGCTTCAAAATATCTGAAAATTTATAGTGTTACGCAAACTCTAGTGTATTGGCGGGACGTTGGTTAGGACTTGGAAGTGAGAGACATGGGACCTGGGAACGTGATCGCAGCAGCGGCTTGCAACCTTATCTTCATACTGAGAGTCTGCATCATCAGCATACCACAAGTGAGCATCAATACCTTAATTTGTGAAATATACAATTAGAAAATAAATAAATTCAAATAATTCATTAATTAAATTTTGTGAAACAAGTAAATAGCTAAACGGGTATATTTAACACATAAAAACCATGCGCCAATTAGAAATAAATGCTAGTAATGTAAGGAAGGACAACAAACAGGAACCAAAACATGGCATTTATTTTAGTTTTCTGTTTCTACCGTTCATTAAAACCGTGCATGAGTTATACAATGTCTAGCAACAAAAAATAACTGCCGACTTTTAATCTAAATATCTCTGCTCTCCCTGAAAATGCTTTCACGAAACTTTCACCGCGCACAACTGATGCGAATTCCAATGGACGCATGAAAATTCCCCAAAATTCGCTCTGCCAACAGAAAGCTATGAATAAATATTCAAATGCATTGGAAACAAAATTGGCTGGAATTTTTATCCTAACAGAGTGACTAGACATTAGACATCGCCTGCCAATACAGGTGAGGAATCTGAAGAACAGACCAAAAGCTATACATATGGATGAGTCAAATACTGATTGGGGAAAGGTTATCAAAACCATCTGTAATGAAAGTTTAGCCGAAAAAAAAAGAAATTTGAATGGAAGTAATGTTGGATGTGACCTAGTTGACACGCAGAGAGCGCTTAGGCGTTTCCTCCACTTGACCACTATTACCAGCGAGTGTCCATTTTCAATGGGAGGAAGAAGGGAGGGGAAGAAGAAGCATGTGAGAATAGTGTTACTATTTTTCAACATTGGCTCATATATTCAACATTCAACGGGAGCATTGGCTCTCTCTCAGTGGACAATCATAGCCATCAAGGAGGTAAATCGTAGCAAGCGGAATTTGTGAGAACCCAGGGCCAGTCTTTGCGACGCCATTTAAGGCGATCGATCCGTGACGTCTTTTTGCTTTTGGCAGCATATATGATGCGTTCTTCATATCCATTACCATTGCGTGCTTCTCCTGTGGTTCACTCACGAATGGGGTAGTATAAAACCTCGATGCCTCACATGGGGTGTTTTACTGCATTTTACAAATAAGAATATATTGATATAAGTAGTATTTTTGTTACGGAGGTGCTACCAAGCTTGCAGAGTCTCACAAATATTCATGAAATATTCATTCAGAGTTCCTATGTTCCCAGTCCGCAAATCAATTTTGAGTCAATGTTGACGATGTCGACGAGATATTGTGTTGACTCCAGGTTGAAAATGCGACCGGTCTCAATAATGCGAGGAAGTCGAATTCATGTTGCGTTTCGGCTAATTACTCTATGGCCTGTCAATGATAAATCATCACGATTCGAGCTAGCCCTCTGGTAGTTATTAACAAGACAAAAAGGTTTCCACAACTTGAATGAGAGCGCCTGAATCGTCGACAGAGCGAGTTACCCCTTGATATATTAATAATTAGAATGAGTCACCATCACTTTTCATATTTTAAACCAATGATGCACAACCCGCGGCCCGCGGAGACCTTTTTCCCTGCCCCTTGGATGCCTCCGGTCTCTAAAGATCCATTTTTATATGCGGCCTATTTCGGCTCATGTTCGAGGGCCTGCAGCCCTCGAACCCCTCTAACATAAGCCAAAATCTCAATTTGGTCCTCTAGGGGGAAAAGGTTGAGCACCAATGCTTTAAACTTAATCTCTTTCCCCCATAGACACATTGGAACTACTCAATTCATTCGACGAAAAAGATAACCCAATCCAATGAGACTCCGGTTAATTCTAATCCCGAGGATTGAGAAAGAAGGGTTCAACTGTGATGGGGCTCCATGGGAGTTGTCGTAAGTTTCAACAGCATCCAACCCTAATTCTTGTCAACGTTAAGTCAGTTGTGTTATGGTGCAACGTGGTATTCGATAGTCTCTCGATATGACCTTATTTTGAACAGTAGGGTTTTTTTTTTTTGGCTGAAGAGTAAGTGGACAGGGCAGCAGAAAGGGGGCGCCAAACCCTACCCGAGCGATATCAGGGGAGAAAAGTATTACTTTCAAGAGGTGCCAAGCTTGCCGGGGGGCAGCCCCCCTGTGGTAAAATATGCCACTGCCCTTGAAGGCCGGTGGATCAAGAGGATCGGTTGAATGGTCTGCTACATCACCTGATTTCGTGCTAAATTAAAGTGTAACCGTAGTAGCAGCCTTTTCCTTTTGAGGAATCGTCAAGAAGAGAACTTTTTCAAGGATGTTTTGCGATGTTGACGACTCAAGACGGATTCATCATCAGTGAGTTTGAGTCCCTGGAAAATTCTATTCGAAAATAAATGTCACACTATCATCTAATATAATCTAATGCAATGAAACAAAATTATATTATCATCTTTTAATTATGTAAGGGTGAGGCGACTTACTTTTACATCACTGTCGTTCATAGTACGAGGGTCATTCTGGAAGTTATTGACACGAGTCTGTAGAACTAAGAGTTTTATTTAAATGAAATAAACTTCACTGAAAAAATAAATCACTGAAACTTGTGGTTGAGAAATACTTCCCCCGTCTCCCGCACAAGTCCGAGCCATCTTTACCAATCGCTCATGGCATTATGATAATCTGACTTGATCATGGTAAATATGACTGCCTGAAACCACAAAATCACTTGCGGTCATTATGGATGCTGAATCGTCTAGGGACCATTTTCATGACGCTCATCTTACCTAAACTAGGTCATCCCTAATTGGGAACAGTTCCATTTTTCTTCTGTTTCGCCTTCGTTTCATTTTTCAAATCGACCTCGTAAATGGAGATAAAGCACTACTCCCAGTGCCGCTAAGTGCAGGAAACGGATGAGTTGTGTCGATTCTGACAGGGCCGTTTCTAGGGGCGGGCGAAGCGGGCGATCGCCCGCTTCGCAAGCGGGGTAAAGGGGGATGGGGGAGGGCGCCAGAGGGGTAAAGGGGGGGGGGGGGGGGCGCCGTTGGAACTTCTTGCCCTGGGTGCCCACACGCCTAGAAACGGCCCTTACTCGGCATTTTCCTGAAGCAAACTTTCTCCCTATACCTATCCCAGTTCAACCTCCAACCATATAACACCAGAACCACCATTTTCTCAGCGGTGACATTTTTTCTTGGCGACATTTTTTCTTGGCGACATTTTGTCCGGCGACATTTTGTCCGCAACATTTTGTCCGCGACATATTGTCCGGCGACAATTTGTCCGCTCACGCCTAATGCTATTGCGATGGGGGAAAACAATCCAACCCTTGGAAAAACTTTCACTCTCGCCGACCTGGCGTTACGCGTGCAATTCTGCAGATCTGCACACACACACACACACAGAGAACCACGGCAACTCTCGTTTCCAATTTCATTCAAAAGGTGGCGAGACGAGAGCGAATCTCCGATATCCAATGAAATTTGCCTCCCCTTCCTTTCGTATGACCGATTTCCAAATTTGATTCCGAAAATGCATAATCTCGAATGGTAAGGAAGAGTTCTGTCAAAACCCCAAGTTCACATCTCTAAGCTTTTGGCCTGAAGAGCTTTCACACCCACACACACACCATAACACCCAATTGTTGCTTGGCCTAGCCAACGGCCAGAATCGCTTACGCTCTGTCTTTAACCTCCGGTTTGAACAATGTAACATTTGGCGGCAACCCCCGCTTCTTGGTCTTATTTCCGAAATGTTCTTCCCATCGTTCTCCGCGGCAATAAGTACGCCATCCTTGCTGCTTGCCTCTTTGGCCACTACTCATGACCCTGAAATTATCAACAAACATTAGAGCGGAACGGGAGCAGAAGGAGCTCTCAGAATGGCCGTTGTCTCGTGAGTTTCGTAAGGCGAAAGGAGGCACAGGTTGAGGCACGACTTTCTTACTTGGAGAGTTGTGAGCACGTGGAATGCGTTAGACGACGACGTCGTGGCTGCCCATTCCGTGCCGATTTTTAAGAAGAGAGTAGATGCTTGTGTGGTCAAGAAGGGGGACATTGTTGAATTAAGGGACTGGGCAGTAAGCAACTAGGATATGCATAAAAAATACGAACATGTTTAGCTTAAAGAAGAGTAGGCGAACCCTAAAAGTTAAGGATCACTCGACCTCGATACGTTGTATCCAAATAGGTGTTTTCGTCTCTTAATATCACTAAACCAGTGGCGTATTTTACGGGGGGGGGGGGGGGGGGGGGGGGGGGCCGGGGGGGGGGGGGGGGGGGGGGGGGGGGGGGGGGGCGCCGTTGGAACTTCTTGCCCTGGGTGCCAACACGCCTAGAAACGGCCCTGGATTCTGAAATATCCCGCCAATCCACAGCGGTACTCTTGCGCAAGGAGAGTCAATTAAAATAGGGGCCGAAAGAAAAATTACGGATTTCACCACGATCTCTTGACGGGCAACTAAAGCACTGCATGTAACTGCATTGCCAGAGCCAAGATCTTTGCGCTCCCCTACACTAAAATTAAGAAATGATTGATTCGATTGTCGTTGCACGAATCGGAATTACACTGGCCGCACCAAGGTGATCGATGCCGGATCTGTTTGGGTCCTGAGTCGTAGCAACGTTTGGTGTTGCCTTTTGTCACCTTCAGCCATAGTGAGTAGTTTTCAGTCAAATTTCAACTGTAACTGACTCGAGGTGTACTCGAACACGCTTGGCTGGACGCGGGAGTCCCCACGTGACGTTTGGGCCACGTTTTGTAGGAGTGTATGCCCGAAGCGAGCGAGCGGATTGGGAGGTAAAGTCATAATGTATAACGAGCGTAAAACCGAAACAAGTGTGTTGAGAAACAGCGTGTGGCGAGGTATTACTGTACAGCATTAAGGAGTGTGAAGCTGGGCCCTAGTTTGTGAATACCTATTGAAGATAATGGTGAGCTTCAGCATTTGTTAATTCCCAAGTAGACTAATTCCGAATTAATGCTCGCTTGTGAATACCACCCATTGACTCCTTGAACTTAAAGAGCAGTGTTTCTCAGGGCCGCCCAGAGGTTTCCAGGGGCCCGGGGCAAAACTAAACTGGAGACCCCTTGGGGGCCCCCTTGGGACCCCTTCAGCATGTGGGGCCCGGGGCAGATTGCCCCAATTGCCCCCCCCCCCCCCCCCCCCCCCCCCCTCGCCCCCCCCCCCCCCCCCCCCCCCCCCCCCCCCCTCTTTGGGCAGCCCTGGTGTTTCTATAGGGTGAGCAAGGAGGGGAGAGGGGAACAGATTTGAGCGGGGCAAATCGTGTTCCTCGGCTTTGTCTTCTTTATTATTGCGGGCTTGACAACCCTGGAGTTCATCTTTCGGCGGCTGACACTTCCCACGGAACTGTGAGGATCCCTGGAAAGAAAAGGGGTGGTCGCGTGCCCCCTCTTCGATGGCTCCACTTCCTCATCTTTGCTATCATCCACACCAATTTTCTGCCGTCAACATCCCTGGCCCCAAACAAATTCCATCTTCTCCAAATGGTGAAAGGGAAGCTTCAGCAAGCCCACATTCCAAGTCAAGCTCCGAGATCCAGAGAATATTTTCTTTATTTTCAAAAAAGTGAGTAAAGCTTCCAGTCCGAAAAGCACGAAAAGTCAGTAGGAACGCTTGACAGCTGCCAAGGAGTAACACGCATCAGCAGAATATACAAAAAAATTCAGATTTCACAAAGTTATTCTCCATCTTCTCGCTATCGAGCATCTCTCTGGATACGTTTTAAACTTCACTCATGCGAGCTGGTGCTGGAAGACCATTTTCAAAAGTATCAATTCTTCCAGTGGAATTCATTTGTCAACCTGGATACTACCCAGTTTGCACAAGCACGTCGATTAAAAGCACTGATATTTGAAAGAAACGTTGAGAATTGTGAAGGGATATCATCATGCGTAGCCTCGAGGCTGGGAAGCAGCTGTGGGCAGGGTTATGGGAACGGGGGTGGGGGAGGGGCACAGCATCAAGGCAGTTGAATAACGAACAGCGGGAGTGCGACAGAGCTGGCGTGGGGCTCGAACCCCCTGAGGGCCCCTCCTCCCCTTTACGCATGTCACTGGTATGGAGCTAATTATTTTTGCGCATGATGTGGGAAAAATTCCAACAGGCATTTCCGAGGAAATAGGACTCCATGCCAGCACCAACTTGAAATTTCATGGTGTAGAAGGCATTGTTGGCTTAGGGTTTCCGTGTGTTCCTCCCAATGAGTTAAAGCCGACTTTTTATAGACAGCACCTTCATCGTAGTCTATTTTTTCCTATTTGTGAGAAAATGATGCTCACACAATGAATATCATTCTGTAAAATGTGGGCAATAATGCTCTATGTTCCATAGGGAACAATGAGAGCTACAAAATTGAGAAAGGGGAACAATTCACAACATGAGATGTTTTCTCCAGGGGTCTTCAAAACGTTTTCTAAATAATAGAACTTTTTACTAAAAGACTACAAGCAAGTACCGCTCTGAGATGCGTAATAGATGTAATTTCATCTAGTGCTGTCTGTTTAGTATATGTTTAGTCCATGTTTTGTGCAAATTGAGTGTCACCCCAGTATTGACTTTTGACCCAATGAAAATGGAATGCATAACTTCATCTCCTGAGATGGCTAAAAATGTAGCATTCTCATCTACGAAAATAATCTCTTTGGAATGCAAGGATTCCCAAACTTACAATCATACCAAGTCCAAGAGGCACTTCTCTCCAGCTTTCATTCAAATTTCTCTCGCCTATAAATCTAGCACGATCTAAAATGGCATCAAAACTGAATATGATTAAATCAAACCATCCTATAGAGTTTTGACATGGCAAAAAAATTTAACTTTGTGCTGGATTATCACCAATTCACTGGCTACTAGGCTGGTCTCCTTCAACAAAACAAGTACATCATTCCCAGAAATTCCCAAGAAAAGGCAGAAGAGTCCAGTGAAAGTAGAATATCAACAGAGGATTAGAAACCAGGAAAGAGTTGTTGGCAAAGAAGAACTTTGTGCTGGCAATCACTGGGGAAAAAGTACGTTCCCTTTCATAAAATAAATCACATCATTAAAAAAAAATCAAATTATCAATTAAAAAAAAAGTCCCATTAAGTCATGAAAAGACAAGGGTTTCTGTGGGAACAGGGTATCACGTGGATTAGAAGGTATTGATTCTACCATAAATCTGAAGGGATGAGAGAAGAATATATGCAAGCCAAAGGAAGAGGAGGAAGAATGCAGAGGCATACTTTGTCACCTTCGGTCCCCCAAGTTCCCCCTTGCCAAAGATGCCAAGGTATCGGCGAAGGACAAGGAGGCCCAACGTCAGCACTGCGCACACGGTGAATACTGTCACCGAAAACCCCATGTTTCCGGCTGACACCTTAAACTTTTGTCCCTGCAGAAAAACGTATCAAGAAACTTCCCATCAGAATGAATGAATATGAAAGTAAAGACAAACACTAAAAAAGAATAAATAAATAAATAATAAAGTAATGAATAAAGAATACAATGCAAGTAATCAAGGGTGGATTTTTGAACAGAAGTATTATCGGATAATACAGCTTCATTTAAGAGAAAATGCATTATAAATTCGGTAAATAAAGCTGCATTATCGGATAGTGTTCTGTTCAAAAATCCACCCTAAAAGTAAAACATGTTAAGACATCAAGTGAAAGGAATAAAAAAATGGAATTGAAAGTAAAAAAAGAAAAAGTGAAACTGATTTTTTTTTAATCAAAACAGGGCAGACAAGGTTATAAAGATACAAGAACCAGATAGACACAAAATGGAGGTCTTGAAAAAAAAGATGAAAAAAGAAAAAGGTAGATCTGTCAGACGGGGGAATGCTATGTATGATGGAAGGAGGGTAGCTACGGAATAACCGCAGAAGATAGCAGGAGAGGATTGTTAAACATTCATCTAAGCATCCGTTTCCACTCAGCACATGACGTTATGCCGATATTTGTGCAAATGTAAAATTGGTGAAAATAAGTTGGTTGGACCTAAACTTCACCAAGAACTAATTCACCTGGGTCCCAATGCTATGTTTTGCAGTGATCAGGTCATAACTTTTGCGCTATTTTTGGGCAACCAGACTGGAAACAGATTGAACAAGACTAAGATCCCTTTACCTTTTCTGAAGGTAAAAAAGAAAAGATAACTGTGAGGGAAGGTAATGGGAGTGAGCCAATTTTTCACAAGATACGTAGTGAATGGAGAAAATTGAGAGCAGAGGAAAATATGATGATGAAAAGAAATGAGGAAAAGAACGGATTATGGTACCTTGGTAGCATGGTAGATCGCAGCAATGAGCCATGGGAGTCCAAGACCAAGGAATACATTCACCGAATTGCTTCCTGTCACGTTTCCTACGGCGTTGTCTGCATATTTCTCTTGCACGGCTGCCGTCTTTGATGCAAATGTGTCCGGCAACGATGTCCCCAATGCCACAAACGTGATTGCTATCCGAATACAAAAGTACGAGTGAAAACGTTGTCTACTAGTGTTGACATTTGTAATTAAAAAAAAAAGCATAAATATAAAAAGGACATAAAGAATATATAAATGTAATCATGATACAAAAAAGTTGACAAAAAGACAAAAAAGTTGTCACATCTTTAACCATATAAAATGAAGACCCATTTTGAACGCACAATGGCTTTGTTCGTTTAATCTCCCCTGACTTGGATGCGCTTGGCCCAGCTATCCACGATCTTTTTTCAGCCTTTCGTAGAACCCATTTTCCGGATGTCTTTCAATATCATGGCCAGTGCTGCATTGACTGCACTATGACTGGTTGTCATAGCGTTCTCCATGAAGCTCGTATTTCATTATTGAAACCAAATGGAAGTCACAGAGACTCAAGTCTGAAAGTATGAGGGTGAGGCAAAAATTCCCTGCCCCAGTTTTCTAGGACAGTTATCACACTCTTCTTAACATGCTCGGTTGCATCTTCGTGAGGGAGAATGAGTTCTGATGCCAGTCACTCGAATGGAGTGTGGTCAATGCTTAGCAAAGTTGGGGCAGGGAAATTTTTACTCATCCCTGTATTTTCCAGACTTGACCCCCCTTGAACTTCCGTTTCCAGTCGTTTCCAAGGACGAGGTCTGAAGAAAAGACTGCCAGAAAAATGGGATCAGCGAAGGATTGAAAAAGATCGTTGGGCCTAGAGCATCCAGTTCAAGAGACTTCCCAGGGGCATCTAACGTAAGTCTACGATGAGATGCCACGGCATCCCAAGGATGTTCATAGTTAACGTCCTTCCATCATCAAAATGTCGTCTCCCAGTAACGTTTCAAGGATGGCGTCCCATGGATGTTTGATTCATATATCACTACATCCCACGGGCAAAACAGGTTATATAAAATTTAAATTATTTTTTTAATTTTCTTTATTTTTTTCCATTAATGGTACATCAGTAAGCAAGTTTAATTAGTAACTAGCTAAATTATGCCCACCATTATTATTTTGTTAACATGATGATAAATCTAGTAGTTATTAACTATTCTAGTCTTATCGAATGAGTCTGAGTTTCACCAGTGACAGCATCCTTGAGTCCAACAAGGCAGCCGAAGATGGCGGCAAGGTCTCCGACGATCGCCGTTATAATCCCGATGAAAATCAGCGACACAGAGAAGGCCAGCCACCCTCCAAGTATGGATGGCGGTGGTACAAATGCAAAGATGAGCTACAAAAAAAAGAATTAGTATCAATAAAGTCACCTTTTGCTGGAGTGAATTCTCTTGGGAATGCAATGGGAAGATTCTGACTGGCTGGAGCCTCTTAGTAGTGTAAGCAAGCATGACTCTGGTTGACTGGGAGAGAAGAGTAGGCATAATAAGCTTACTTTCCAGCCGAAGGTGAGGACGTGCATGATGCAATCAGAGAAGGTGGCGTTCTCAGTATCACCTCCATTTACGCTGAGAGCCTCCTTGAACTGATCTCCCCAGGATTCTGTATGGACCTGGAACTTGTCCATGTTCGCATTAGTCATCAGGAGCATTCGATTCATGATGGAGTTGAAGTCGTCGTCATTGGTGATGGTGACGGTGACGCGGTTGATCTTCCCGACCCTGGCTCCTCCAACTGGGTTCAACAGCTCCACTTCGAAATGCTCATTCTTCTCAGGCACAAAGTCGTTTTTTATCTCGATCTCAATCAGCTTCTCAACCTGAATGAACCAAATAAAAATATAGAAAGCAATTTATTCTGGGCCTCATACCTGTAAATGTACATGGAACCCTTTATCAATCCGCTTTTGCTCCGAGATACAAAGTACACCAGCATAAAGGGAAATAAATAATGGTAGATGCATATTCAGAGTAGAGGGTAAGCAATGAATTTATTGATATATTTATTTTAATGACAAAAATATACGTGAATCAAGTTTCTAGTACTATGATAATAGAGAACGATACAGCCAAAACGTGCAATAGAGCATTCACATGGAACAAGCTGGTCATGGGACAGGATAATAGAAATTCTGTACGTCATTGTGTACATCAGGGGTGTGCAACCTTTATCGGCAGTGGACCACATGGAAATGTTTGACACTTCACGCGGGCCATAGCATGCAAAAAAAAAAAAGGCTTCCCTTTTTTGCCCTAAGGGCATATTAGAGCATAAGGTCGCTTTGATCGGCCGGGAATTCTTACCCCCGACCCACCCCTAGGAAATTCCAATGCCAAAAATTAGCCTTTGGCATCGAGAGCCTTCTTCCTCGAGACATACGTAGCCCCCCCCCCCCCCCCCCCCCCCCCC